CTTCTGGCATGGATGCTTTGCCCCAAAGTTTGGTGTCATCAACGAACTTGCCCAGCCCGCTTCTGACCCCAATGTCCACATCATTAGTGAAGATGTTGAACAATATGGCAGTTATGACAAATCTAGAAAACTGAATAATTATAAATATCTCACTAAAGCTTATTGAAAATTCTGTCAGTACCACAGTCGGTTATTTTTAATGATTAGAAAAACTGGCCCTGAAAAAGTGGAGGAGAAAATTTTACACTTACCTGAACATGATCTGTCCAGTTCTCCTGAGTCATGCTTTTCTGAAAAGACAAAAATAAATCTAGGAGATTTGTTTCACACCAAGCTGAAATTTAACACACAAACCTAAAACTTGGCATCATCTGTGATTTAGGAATGCAATCTGGTATGCACTGAAAATCACTGGTTCTCATATATCACCATGCAGAGTGCATTAGAGAAAAGCATAACTTAGATTAATTAATTCAGACAAATGCTGAACTATAGCACACAAGACAAAACCTTAACCTACATTTGCAGCATAAATGCTACACAAAATCCTATCCAGAGGACACTAAAGCTCCCTAGAGATTTTATGAAATAAAGAAAATCCAGCAAGACTCAGATTAGAGTGGGTACTAGCTTTTGTGAAGTCAAATAGTGTAAAACTAGAGGAAGCACTCAGGTTCACAGCATTCCTCCTTTTCATATTGTGCTTAGCACTCACAGTAAGTAAGAATCACACAAGATGACTTAATGCCTTTTCAGGCCATTGAATAATGCAAAAATACTGATATCAGTACTATAGAATCATAGAAAATTAGGGCTGGAAGGGACCTCAGGGTCCAACCCCCTGCTCACAGCAGGACCATCCCCAACTAGATCATCCCAGCCAGGCTTTGTCTAGATGGATATTAAAACACTCTTAAAAACCTACTATGGAGAGAGAGCTTTGAAAAACATGGCTTATAAAGGGAAATTTTGTTTAAAGTAATGGGGAAAATTTAAAATACTGAATGGGTCAGTATTTTAAAGTATTCAGTTAACTACCTAACTGAATAGGTAGTTGTCCTTGTTGTAGTATCTACGCTGGCTGAGGCAAATGGCAGATCAACTTGGCTTTCTACAGAACCCACACCTATGAATGGAAGAACACCTCCTGCAGGGCACCTCCAACTATCAATGAAGTTTGTGCGAGTTGAGGCCATGCAACACTGCATGAGGATGCCAGTCCCATATAAGGTCCTTTAAGTCCCTACAATTAGCATAACTGCATAAAAAAACATACAACCAATGATCAGTTTATAACAACTCCATCTTAGTGCTAATAGCAGCAATTTTTGAGCAGAAACAATTCCTGTCAGTATTACTATATGTTTGTTTTTCCATATATTTCTAGCACTGCTACTACATTGTTCAAATGCAAAATAAATACGCAAACCTGCACCATAAAGCCTACCTCAACAAACCTCTTGTAGAAGAGATATTTCAGTGATCCTAGGTGCTGCTGATTGATGACATTAGGACAAAGAGCTGAAACAGGAAGAAAAGGCCTTAAAGTCCACACTATATCTGCACATCCTCCTAGACAAAGAGTATTTTTTCCAACTATTCAGTTGGCCTAATTAAAAATATCACATTTACCCAAATAACCTTGTCTGCTTATTACCTAGACAGCGTTTTTCCCCTCCTCTTATATGAAAATCAACTTTAAGCTCATGATGTACCCTAGGAAAGATGCCGGCTACACTTGGCACTTCAGGACCAGGAACATTCTGAGCTTACTTATGCTGTAAAATTGCTATTTGTATTTTAAAACGTAAGTATCAAGATTAAACCATAGCTCCAGGGATCCAAGGCTATATTACTCCTGAATGAGTGCATCCTCATGGTGTTTGCCTTATCTTTCTTGAATATCTGCATGCAGACAAACCCTTAAATTACTAAGGGCCCAAGTCACTTCGGAAAATGGGATATAGGCTCCTAAACCACATAAGTGATTTTCAATATTTTACACAGAATTTAAACTCAGAGCAACAGTTTGGCCATAGTTTAGCCACTGAAATATTTAATTCTTAAAAGATACTGTATTAGGCATGGGTGACTAAGTTTTTGCTGAGTTAGCAGAAGAAGACAGACAACCATCAGATGATAGACAAAAGCAATACTGAGGAATGACAGAAGAAACCAAAAAATTGCATGTACATTGGGCAATTATGTGAAAGCATAGAATGGTGATGTGTCACAAAAGTGGATTATTAACATGCTGCACAAAATGAAAGAATACCCATTGTTACTGCAATTTATAGGAAGCATCACAGAAAAGTACATGCAGTAGCAGGGAAAATGAAGGTAAAACGTAAAACAAGGTAACAAACAGTATGCTGTGAGATCTTCTAGGGTCATGTTTGCTCTTTGTCATATTGCTGTTGATATCCCTATTTCAGTTTCCTGCCACACTGAGATACACTAGCAGATGCTATTTCATTATTACAGCAGGGAGTCCTATTTCACGTCCGTTGTACGTGGACCACCTGAAACTACCGTGCCCAGAATATTCCCTTCTTGCTCCTCTA